CCCTGCCGTAGATTAAAGAGGTGCCATTGCTAATTTTATTTATTATATATTATATCTATTTTAGTTTTATCCTAATCACTTTGATTTAGTTTTTTATTCCTTTTATTCTATTTTTACTCTACTTGTATTCTATTTTAGTTTCCTAAATGGTATTATCAACTCTATGCGAAGGAGATGTGCTGCACTGTGTGAGACAAATGGTGGTCACACCAGATACTAACTGGTTTTTGGACCCCCCCGGACTCCCTCAATACAGTAAAACTGAACATTTTAGAGTGGCCTTTTATTGTAGCCAGCCTAAGGCATACCTGTGCATTAATCATGCTGTCTAATCAGCATCTTGATATGCCACACCTGTGAGGTGGGTGGATTATCTCGGCAAAGGAAAGGTGCTCACTAGCACAGATTTACACAGATTTGTGAACAATATTTGAGAGAAATAGGCCTTTTGTGTACATAGAACAAGTCATAGATCTTTGAGTTCAGCTCATGAAAAATGGGGGCAAACACAAAAGTGTTGCGTTTATAATTTTGTTCAGTGTACTTTATAGCTTACTAAGTCACCCTGTCTCCTAAAACATTCCTATACAACTAAACTGCAAATGCAGATACATTTTATTATTTTTATTTATTTATTTTTTTATTGAAACAAAGTAACACATTAACAAAACAGTACCAAACATGGGAGACAAGAACAACAGATACATGACATTACAAAAGGATATAGAGTGTTTTACAAGATTGTAGTGTGTGAAGTATGGGTATTTCCAACTTATGCAGTCTATGAAATACAAGAAAGGGAAAGGAGGGGAAATAAATAAATAAAAAATTACCAATAATAATGATAATAACAGTACTATTAATAGTTCCATGTGTCATAAAAAGCTGATAAACTATTCTTGTGAGTGGATGCCATTTTCTCTAATGTGATGTATTCTGTCAGAAGGTTGGTCCAGGAGTTTATGTGTAGTGATTTTTTTGATTTCCAGTTTTGAAAGATTGTTTTCTTGGCAATAGCTAGAGAAATGAGGAGTGGGTTTTTGTATTTAATTGGTAGGTGGTCGACTTCTGGGATATTACCGAGTAAACAAAGTGATGGAGAAGGAGGGATTCTACAGCCCAAGATGGTGTAGAGTTTCTCTGTCACTGCTACCCAGAGGGAATTAACTAGTTGGCAGGTCCAAGTAGCATGAAAATAACTGTCGGTGCAACCTAGAATGCATTGTGAGCAGATGTCTGTGTCAGTGAAACCCATTTTGAACATTTTAGTTTGTGTAATATGAGTCCTGTAAATGGTCTGGCACTGATGTTTGTACAACAAAACAAATGATACCAAAAGCCTTTCTACAGCTACAAACCGAGCAGTGTGTGACAGCCGTAGATGTTCAAACCGCAACAAACGCAAGCCCTCAACATTTTATTGGATTTGTTGTATTTGAAGTCCCTTGTCTCTATGAAGGAAGGAGTAAGTCCATGTGTGTGCTGCCATTCACAGCAGCTACCAGACTGAGGAACAGTAATTACCTGAATTTGATACAGATGTTACACGAATCTTTGACTTAATTATGGATTTTAGTTGATTGTACTGGAGGAACTGTTCTCTCTAGACTCCATACTTGTATTAAATGACATGAACTGGTTATTTTCAAATAGGTGATGTAAGTGAGTGATTCCTTTGTGTTGCCATGTTGGGAAATAGATAGGGTTATTGTGCAGTTTGAAGTCAGGGTTGTGCCAAATTGGAGTGTATCTACATGGTGCAAGTGATGATTTAGTGATTTTGTTTGCTTTCCACCAGGCTGTCAGAGTTGAGAGGATTTTGATGTTGTTACAGTGATTCATTTTCTAAGTAGAGTTTGGTAGAAAAGAAAGGTCTGCAACTGAGTTATTTGAGTTATTTTTGCAGTAATTTTGCTCTAATTCTATCCATGCACTGTTGTAACTGTCCTTCTGAATCCATTTGACTAAACACTGTAGCTGATTTGCCAAGTAGTAATATTGGAAGTTTGGTGCTTCTAGGCCACCTAGTGATTTCTTCTTTTGGAGTGTAGATAGAGAAATTTTGGGTTTCTTATTTTTCCAATAAAATTGTGAAGTTATAGAATCAAGTGATTTAAACCATTTAACTGTGGGTATTGTGGGAAGCATTGTAAACAGATAGTTGATTTGAGGTACAGTTTTCATTTTGACAGTAGCTATTCGACCGATAAGTGAGAGGAAGATTGGACCGGCATTTGAAATCATCTTCTATCTTTTTTAGCAGGGGGGTGTAGTTGAGATTAAAAAGTTCTGACAGCCTGGGGGAGATATTAATACCAAGATATTGCTGATACATTTTATAGTGGCAGTATTTGATTTTCAGATTGTATAGGCCTTACGCCTGTTTACACCAAACGACTCAAGGTGAAACCATTCTCAGTGAGAACTGTTAACACCTGGAACAACTGTGCACAGGCCAGCATGCAGGGCACATCCATATGTGCACCAGCTAGAACGGTGCATGATTTCCCCAATCAAAAACCCTGGTTTAATAGCAAGCGAGCAAAATTTATTTATATAGCACCTTTCTAAACCTACGTTACAAGGTGCTTTCCCTTAAAACATAAAAATAATAAAAATAAATAAAATCGGATAAAACACATCTACACAGTAAAATAACAGCAAAAATGCATAATCAAAACAAATACATCAATCAGTAAAATTGTTAAAAGGGATTTAAAATAATAGGGATATAAAACAGAAAATCAGGAAGAGACGAGAGGCTTTTAAGTCAGGGGACCAAGAGGAGTACAGGAAAGCCTGGTACAAACTACAAAAGTCCATCAGAGCTGCATACTCCAAAAATTGGAGAGCTACTATATGAATAACAACACACGCAGGAATCCAGACAGTCACAAACTACAGGAACAAATCAACAAACACAGCCCCCCAGGACGCCACCCTCCCGGACAGCCTTAACAACTTCTATGCAAGGTATGACAGGATGAACACAGGCACCCCCTCAAAATCCCCCTACGACCCAGGGGACACTGTTTATCAGGTGACGCACACACAGGTCCTGAAGGCCCTGAAACAGGTAAACCCCTATAAGGCGGCGGGACCAGACAGTGTCCCCCTTAGAGTATTGAAAGCCTGTGGGGATCAACTAGCTAGTGTGTATACAGACATCTCCAACCTGTCCTTAACTCAAGCAGTAGTTCCTCACATTTTCAAAAAATCCATCATCGAACCAGTCCCCAAGATATCAAACACATCCACTCCACCTCATCAAGGGGGGGGGGGATGAGTCGGGTTACAGAAGCTTGGTGAAAAACATTCTTGTTTATGGAGAGGAGAATGACCTCATCTTCAACATAGCTGGGTTGAACCATCACCCTCTCACCCAGGCTTATAGAGGACTGGTAGAGAGCATCACAGTCTGGTATGGTAACACCACACAGGAAGAGAGGAAGGCTCTTCAAGGGGTCATAAAGACTGCAGAGAGAATCATTGGGACTGAACTGCCTGCTATGGACACACTGTACACACAGCGCTCATAAAAGGGCAGAGAACATAACCAGAGACCCACTCCATCCAGCTCACTCTCTGCTCAGACATAAAAACTGCACCCACAACCTCAGGCACAGCAGAGTGGATGGTATCATCACACACAGAACAAAATTTTACAATAGTTTGTTTCCTGCCGCAGTAAGACTGATGGCAAATACAAAGTGTGAAAAACCTATACAATAACCCGTCATTACCCTATTAAGTTGAAGACCATATACAATTCCACTATGGGCAATATTTGAAATTCACAATTTTATCTACTATTTTAGACCAGTCATTCAGTCTACTGATGGGGGGTTTCTTGGAAACTGGGATGATGGTGGTGCATTTCAAGCAGGAGGGGACTCCCCAAAGCTCCAGTGATCTGTTGATGTGTGAAAATGGGGGCCAGCTCATCAGCACCAGCTTTTGGGCAGGAGGGGTGTCACACCATCTGGGTCTGGTGCCTTTCTGATCTTTTGTTTTTAAAAAGGCCATGCACATCCTTTTCACAGATCCTCATGCATGGGTGGGGGCTGTGGGAAGGAAGGTGATCACAGCAGAGCAGCTGTTGGGTCTGAGGTATGGTGGGTGAAGGGTGTAGAGTTCTGCTTCTCAAACCTACAGTAAAACACATTCAGGTTGTCCAACAGTTGATGGTCTTTCACAGCAGAGTACAGATACACCCATCTTAAATCTCCAGCTGGATTGCGGTGAAACCATGCCCAGTCCATGACAGGTCAGCACACAGCCCCTGCTGTTATTTTGTATCCCCATGGTGACGCAGTGGTGGCAGCACCGCCTTTTTTTGCACCCCTAAGAACCAGTTGAGGCAGTAATAACTACCATTTCATTCTGCTGACATGCTCAGCCTTATGTGCCTTTTAATACATCGGGCCACTGGCAGTTATTGCAATATGTCTACTTTTTTTCATTGTTAAATCAAGTTTGTCAACTCTACGCTTTAGAAAAGAGACAGTCACTATCAGGCTCTGTTCCTCTTTTATGTTCTGCACTTTAGATTAGATTAGATTGAACTTTATTGTCATTACCCATGTATGTATAATGCAGTTCAACATCTATCCAGAAATGCAATAACAGTAGTGAAGAGTGCACAGTATCTACAGTATGTACAGTTAGGACTAATTTACTGATAGGTATGTATAATTGATATTTACAGTAAGTAGGTAGGATGTGTAGGGTAATGTACACTATACAACAGACTATTGATTCAAATTACAGTAATGGACAAGGTACATTAAGATTATAGAACACTAGTGCAATGGGATGAGATGGAATGAAACAGTGCAGAATAAGA